TATCCTCCCTATGTCTTTCCTGAATTTCTGACCCACAGAACCTGGGAATGCACCACGGTAATTTGGGGTGATTCTTTACATACTAATAGCCCCAAGGATGGGATTTAAGTGGGGTCACAGAGGGAAAGTTCTTCCCAATGGGCCAAGGTTGGAGAAGGGCGGTAAGCCTCACTGCAGACGCTGGGAGGAGGGAAGATGGAGGCTGTAGAACTGAGGGCTGGTCCCGGCCTGGTGCATGTAGAGGCCTTGGCCCAGCTGGTAAACTGACAAAGCTGCCACAGCGATGCTCCCCAGTAAGGCTGCTTCTCTCCAGCTGAGAGCCCCGAGCCCCTCAGCCGTGATTCCTGTGACTACATGCTGCTGTCCTCCAAAAAGCACCCTTCCTGAAGTACAGGGCTGGGAACAAGCGTAGATCTTCTATTATTTGTGGAAGTCAGTGGAAGGTAGCACAGTCACCTCCCTGGATTGAAGACTTAGACCTCTATTAATGCAGCCCAAGGATTGGTTCACTTTTATAACCACATGTCTCGGTTGAGCTGACTATGAACCATAATCCCTAGCTTGCTCCTGGGCTGTTGAGACCATGCAACAAAGCAGCCCAAGCGGGTGCTCTATCCCACTGCCTTGTGGCTACTTTGGCTGGGAAGATGTTAACACCATCCTTCTCTGGGCACGTAATACTGCACTGAGAGCCCCACGGTCCCATGGCTGGACTCCTGAGCTCTCTCCGTTGTAGAAGGTCACCACGCCAACCCTGTCCACCTTGGGGGCCACTTGCATCTGAGAAAGGAGTTGTGAGTGATGGGCAGAGTCTTCCGCAAGCAGGGGTCAGGAGGTCTGGGTTCTGATACTCGCTTCTCACCATCCCCCACGCCCCCATCACATGCTCAGTAATGAAATCAGAGAGTGGGCAGAGGGGTGCTTCCCCCACCCCCACTGTCAGAGACTCTCCGAATAAGCTCTAGGAGGCAGGGCCCCCAGTACCAGAGAAGCCCATGCTTCTGGAGGCTGATCCTCTCCACTCAGAATCCGGAAGGGGCCACTGCGTGCCCCTTCTGGCCTGCCCGAGGCAGCAGGGTTCCATGGGCTTCCCCATCCCTACCCCCGGGTGACCAGGGCCAGAGCCCGGCTCAAGCCAGAGCAGCCCACCACCCTGTAGTTAATATCGCAGGCAAAACCCAGGCTTAGAGCCAATTAGTTGTTTCCCCTCTCTTACCCCAAAGGAAATTGCCTTTTGCACTGTCAACTCCCTAATTACCAGATGGGATGACCGAGATTTTAAAGACAATTAAGGGGAGGTCTGTCTTTTCCCAAACTCCCTGGTGTCCCCTCCTCCCCAGGCCCACCCCTGTCTGGAGCCTTTCTCTAATTTGGAGCCACTTAGAAAAGACAGGGAAACCTTTAAAGTGAGGAAGAATGTTTCCGGAATGCCTCCTGCCTGGTTTATAGCTGTAGCCGGGCGGAAAGGGGAGAGGGGGGTGCTGGCAAACACGCTCGCTCTGCTGAAGCATGAATGCTGAGTCCTGTTCAAGGGGCCTGTGGCCACAGCATCCTGCTGTAAAAAGAGCTGTGGTGTATGATGGTTGAAGAGGGACAAAGGAGCTAGGATCCCTCTGCCTAGCGGGCCAGGAGACACCCTAAACCAGAAGAGGGAGCCTCCAAGCCAGGTCTGGGAACTCTTTGCCTGGTCCTTCTCGGGTCACCTCTGGATGGTTCAGCCACCATTTGAGCCGTCCTGGCCCCTCTGCTCCCCTCTCCTGCCTGAACCTGGCCCCTCACATATCCGGGCAGCTCTGTGCGTGCTCTGGGACGTGCCATACATCCGCCATCTCCTTGCACAGAGCAGTGACAGCTTCCATTTTGTCCCCATCCTCGAGTCCCAGCTTAATGGACTCCGGCCCCTCGTGACTTCTCTGAATGGGTAATGGCGCTCTGTCCCCTCGCTCTTGAAACCATACCTGTTTTTTCCCCTCAGTGCTCAGCACTCATAAGTATTCCATAAATATTTGATGAATGAGTGAATAAACCCAACCTACCTTGTCTGACTGTGTTACTAAAATAATTCAAACCCAGGGATTTGTCAAGGATGAGTTTTTAGTCCCCCAGAACACCAGGGTGGGGCCACAGTAGGTAATGGATGAACATTTGCCAATTTTGAGTTGCCTTTGCTTGGGGGATGTGGTAAGCTCCCCATCACAGGTGGTGTGCGGGCAAGAACCACTCGAGGGAGTCTGCAAAGGACACTCAGGCTCTAGTAGGGCGAGGTGGGCTGCACTCAGGGGGCCAATGGATTCCGCTGGGGCTCTGAGATCCTTCTAGCCAGAAAGTCTATGACAGTGATTCCCCGCATGGAAAGTTATTTATGAAAAATCCCCTGGGGGCCTGATTTACTGAGGCTCCTCTGTGCTCCTAGTGGCCAGGTGGCTAGAGGCCAAGCAGCAATGATGGTAAGGCCCCAAGGCCAAGGGAAAGGCAGGTAGTAGCTGGTCTACAGAATGGAGGTGAGAGAGAAGCAGAGATTCCAGTGGGAGAGAAGAGGCTAGAGAAACCAGGGAAGGCTTCTGGGAGCAGGTGAGAGGTGATAGAAAGTGGGAGGATGCAGGCGTGGTTGGGGTGGGGGAACGTGCTCCATGGTCAAAGGTTTGGAGGAAGGAGATTTTGCAAATCACTGGGAAAATTGTGAAGGTCAAGGAGGTGGCTGGCTGGGATGGGGGACGGGGAGGCAGAGGACAGCCTGCTGACAGAGGAGAGTTAGAAGGGAGAGTTAGGGGTGAGGAGGAACAGGTGAGGTCACCTGGACAACCTTGCCTTCTTGTGGTGTGGGTGACAGCTGTCACCCTGCAAGGGGGAAAGCCATGTCCAAAGGCAGCTGATGTCTTTCAAGCTCTCTTCCAGGTCTGGTGACCCCTGGGAGCTCACGTTGCCCTCTAGAAAATGGGGTGCTCTCCACAAGGGGCTTAGTACTCCTCTGAGTTCCTCAGACCAGCTTGGAATTCCAGCTGGGAAGCTACTTACTCCCAGGAGGCCCCTGGCTGAGAGCACAGACCCATCAGGGTTCTCTGTGACCCTGGAACTGGCCGCCACCCCATGGTCCGCAGAGCCAAACAGTGTGACCCAGCAATGACAACAGACTCTCCCCAGCCGCACCTGGCTGATGGGGGCTTCGAGTTTTGTCAGCGTGGCGGATCTGCCTTCCAAAGCCCTCAGAGGCCACCTCCTTTTCCTGGCGCTTCCCCTACTCGGGTCCGCTGCAGGCTCCCCCTGCCTCACCCCTGTTCGCCCCAGGGACAAATGTTCTCCGTCTCTCCCGTGAGTTTTCACAGTCTCTGTTGAATTTTTGGATCAGCTCTCCCTGCTCCTGTAGCTCTCCCCCGCTTGTAGAAGGAGGCCAGGGAACGAAAGCATCAGGACTGTTTGGCTAAGCACTTGGTCCCCGCCTCTCACCAGCATTCCCTTTTGGATTTCCTTCCATCCGGCAGGCTGGGGGGCTCTCCGCTTATTTGGGACTGTCCTGAGCTCTCCGGAGCCCCTCCGTGGGTGAGAGGCCCTGGTGGTGGTCCCCAGAGACAAGAGCTGATCGTGAGGGCCCTCCGGCCAGCAGGAAGCAGGTGTTAAAGCCCCAGATGGCAAATGTCTCCCCATTCAGCAAGCCCGGAGCCAGGAGGCCCTAGGGCCAGGCTCATGGACCAGGCCAGGAAAGGCGGCTCTCTGAAGCCAACGTGGACAGTGGCCACCTGCTCAGGGTGGAAGGTTCCATCACAGGTCCCAGTGAGGTCAGGAAGGTGAGCATCGGGATGGGCAGAACCTTCCAGAAACTCCCTTCTGGAATCACTAGAAAGACTCATCCTGGAACCTGCACTCATCAGCCTTGGATGAGTGATGTCACCCATGTGATCCTCAGTTTTATCCCCAGGAAAATGGGGTGAGGATTCGCTGTGAGGTCACACGTTTTAGAACATGGCCTGACCTTCTGTGTTGTATGAAAGTTAGCTACTCCGCTTATCGTCATCATCACATTCCCTGCCCCCAGGCTGGGATCAGCCGTCCTGGGGCCCGGAGGCCTGGAGACCAGCTCCAGGGACAGTTAAGCTATGCAGGGCCTGGAGACGGGTGGACTTACTGCCTGAGCCCCGTGCTACCGGCACTGGCGGCCGATCAGACGTTGGGGGCCTCACATGGGAGCCCATTTGACCAGACGGCCTGGGGGGGGGTGCCGCGACAGACCCACGGGGCCTGCCAGGGGCAGGTGCGGACTTGGCTTGGCACATCTCCTGGAGAATTCTTGGGCCGTGTCAGGCCTGGTAGGGACGGGCCCCAGCCAGGGATACGTGCAGCCAGCGTGGAATAAGGGATCTGATTGTCCAATTCTCCCTCTTTGGGGTCATGTTCACGTTTCTTTGGTCTGCCTCTTTGCCTTTTCAGCTCCTCAGACATCGTCAATGGCCCGAGGGCTGGCGGGGGTCATGGTCGCCCCGGTAACCAACCACAAGGCAGTAGTCGAATTGCCTGAGGGGTCTTGTGGGTCAGGCTGGTGCAGAAACCCTCTCCCCGAGCTGAGTGGGGGTGACATGTGCTTGCATTTCTCACGGGAGGACGGTGGCCCACTCAGAGTCACAGAGCTCAAGGGGTCGGGCCATGTTGCAGCCTTGAATGCTCCCCCTCAGGGTGGGTGGCCCTGCCTTGGAAGCTCTCCTGACCTCAAATGGCCCAAGGCCAAGTCCTCCCAGCGGGTTCCAGGCCTCAACATAATGTGTGTTCTCAGCCAAGTGCCCCTTCCTGGGCCTTTGTCCCTTGGGTGCAGAGATCCGGTTGGCCCAGTACGGGCGGAGATCCTGTGGTTTGGACGGTATCTGGACCCCACCCACTCTGAATGGCCCCAAACAGGTGCCTGGCAGGGAGGGCGCCATCCTGTCCTTTGTCACCCTCCCAGCTATTGTCTGGACCCGGAGCGCTATTTAAAGAGCCGTCCCTGAGAACCTCTAGCCCTGCTACGACGAGAGGGAGCTCTCCAGACCATGGTATGCTGGGGGTGCCCTGCCTCCTGACCCTGACCTCATTCCTCAACTCTGACCTCATCCTGTGATCTTGACTTCTTGTGTGATTCTGACCTTCATCTCATGCCTGAACTCACCCTGACCTTGACCTTGCTCCTTTGACATCCTTGAACTTGACCTGATATTGTCCCTAGTCCTGACCTTTTTCTTCACCCTTGATGTTACCCCTGCGCCTGGCTTACCCTGGACTGTCCTTAACGGGTGGTCAGTCCATCCATGTACATCCCAATTTGCGTCTCTGCTTCCTGGACTCGGTGGGGGCTGCTGAGGTGAAGCGGTGTGGGGTGGCGGGGGATAGGAACAAAGAAGAAGGGGGTAGAAGTAGACAGGGTGGGCTATGCTTAGAGGTTTCATAGCAGAAGCAGGACTCTGGTCCCATTGAGAGGACATGGTTCCTGGGGGTCCAGGGTTGATATTCCTGGGACCTACACAGACTGGCATGGGACTGCCCTGCTGCCCTCTCTTTGCCTCTGTCCCCAGCCTCTTGGGTGTCCCTACAGGCTCTCAAAGGCACGGCCCTTTCAAGTCTCTGTCTCACACCTTCACTTTCCCTCCTGGCCTGAGAACTCTGACCTGGCTATCAAGTCTCAGTTCAGAAGCCACCTCCTCTGAGAGGTCTGCCCTGATTGCCCCAACAGCATAAGGGCTGCTCTGTGCTCTTAGTGTCTGTCTGTCCTTCCATCACTCCCCACTGATCCTCTGTCTCCAGGGGATCCCTGGGGACAAGGCAGGGCCTGATTCAGTGCTGGGTCCCCGGGATTGGGCACAGGGCCTGGCTGGAGCCCAGCAGGCACCTAATCAGTGTCCCGATGTTCTGAGGTAGACATCATCTTGGTTTTATAAATGGGGACACTGAGGATCAGAGCAGGCAACTGGTGTTCTCAGTATTGCAGGGTTGTGAGCCGCAAAGGCAGGATTAGAATTCAGGTCTGGGTGACCCCCTTCTGCCCTGAGGTGCTCCTTTCGGAAAATTTTCTTTTTTTTTTTTTTTAAGGGCCCATTGTAAAAGGCAAATTTCCAAGACGGCTGGGCTGGAAACGGTCCCAGCTGGGAGAGCGGGAGGCAGCCCAGGCCCTTCGAGAACAATCCCGGCCTCCCTCAGGGGGCTCTGGCAGGGGGCGCCTGGCACACCGTGGGGCAATGGCCCACAACAGGGACACAGAAGGCTGCCTGAGACGGGGTGGGGGACACCCAGGCCGAGGGCAGGTCTGAGGAGAGAGAGGGCAGACTATCCCACAGACGGAAGTGATTGTTTTTTATTAATCAGAGGGAAATGTGTATGTAATTATGTGAGATGAGCCCCGCAGGGAGGTTCCTTTCTTTATGATGTCTGAAGGGATTTATAAATATTACAGAGGCTTTACTGCACATAGCGTCCTGCCTGCCCCCTTTCAAAGGATTAGTGGAGACAAAGCACCCAGTAAAAGCTAATTAGAAGTCAGCCGGTGGTATAGCTCCTGAGCCCAGGAGCCGGAGGGGAAATGGGGGTGAGCGCGGTCTGGGGGGACAGGAGCGAACTCGGGGAGGGGAGACCACACAGGGGCCGGGGCCGTGTAGGGGAAGCAGGGGGAGCCCACGCTCCGGGGTGGGGTGGGCAGAGGCTTGGCACCGCTGACATGGAGGCAGGAGGTCTGGGGGTGTGGGGGGACACCCCTTGCCTCTCCGGCTCTGTGAAGCCCGGACTGTTCTTTGCGGCCTCACAAGCCACAGCTGAGGCTCCTCGCCCACAGAAGGCCCCGGTGAGAGCTGCTGGGGGCGAAGTCCCCTGGGGGGTCTTGGGGATCCAGAGCTTTCAGGGAATGCTCAAGGGGGTGCTCACAGGTCCCTGATATCCCGCGAGCAGCACGTGGAGTCAGGAAGGCTGGCCAGAGACCTTCCGCGTGGGTGGTCGCCTGCTCTACCTGCTGTGGAGACGGGCTCTGACCAGCCGTTTCCCGATGGATCCGCACTCGGAGCTGGGCCCTGGGTGGGTGCTGGGGAGCCCCGAGGTGGGACGGACAGAGGGAGATGTGGCCGGACTGGGTCCTCTCTGCTATACCGCCTGGGTTCCCCCCACCAGGTCAAGAAGCTGCTGACTGGCCCATGGGGTGGGGGTCCCCAGGCTTCTGGCCTCAGGCAGGACAAAGGCCCCGCTTATCCGCCAGGTTTCCTTAGAGCCCTGTCTGTTTGCGGTGCCCCGCGGCCCAGGGCAGCCCTGTCACTCGGGACTGGGACAGGCTGGGAGGGGCAGCACGGCACGGGGGGTGGGTGGCAGGTGGGATGCGTGGCTGACCTCGGAGGAAGGCCCTCTCACGGCCTCCCACCTGGCACTTCCCAGGCACCCAGAAGAGCCCGCAAGAGAGCGGAAGGTGGTGCTAGCTCCAATGTCTTCTCCATGTTTGATCAGTCCCAGATCCAGGAGTTTAAAGAGGTCGGTCAGTGTGCCCTCTGGGCCACCGGGAGTGTTAGCGCAATGCATGGAAAGCATCCAAGGGGCTGGCAAGACCCAGGTTGCCCTTGGTCCCTGGGGGCGATAATGACGTCACTATCCTTAAAGCCCACCATGCTGTGCCTCTGAGCCCAGAGACGTGACCTGCTGTCTTTGGGTAACCCCCACCCCTCCCTACCCGAGCCTTTGCTTGCTGCGTGACCTCAGGCTTCTGCTCTCTGAGCCTCAGTTTCCCTCTCCGTAAAATGGGGTTGCCGCAGCATGACATGAGGGGTGGGCATGGCGCCCCCGCTGTGTGTCGGCGTGCAGCGGGAACGGAGTGGGTCCGCCAATACTCTCGCGCAGGTGCCATGCTGAGCCAGGAAACCCACTGGCCGGAGGTTACCCAGGCAGCGGTGTGCAGGACGACAGCCCATTGGACGGGAGAGGGCATGGGCTTGGGCGAGTGGGTCAGTGGCCGCTCAGTACCCCTGTCTCCACCAGGCCTTCACCATCATGGACCAGAACCGGGACGGCTTCATCGACAAGGAGGACCTGAGGGACACGTTTGCCGCCTTGGGTGGGTGACCAGCAGCTGCGGGGGGGCTCGGGGCTTGGGGCAGAACTGAGCCCAGGCCTTCTGGAAGGAGTGGGTACCTGGGGGACAGGCCAGGGCAGCAGGACAGCCAGGGCAGGCCCGAGGAGACCATATGAGGGGCTTGGGTGCCGTGGGTGGCCTGTGCCTGGAAGGTATGGTCTGGGCCAAGGACACAGGGAAGACAGCAGTTGCACGAATGGCCTGGCCTAGGGGCCCGGGGTGGGGAAGGGGACCAAGAAAGCAGTGGGCGATGCTGGGGGAGGTGTCTGGACACATCCCTGGACACAGGGTTCAAGGCAACCAGGTTTCAGCTACCAGGGGAAGCTGCCCAGGGAGAGGCCTTAAGGTATGAATGGGGTGGGGGGTTCAGCTCGCGGGAAGGGGGCATAACCGAGTCATGCTGGAACTACGCTTTGAGCTCCCGGAGATGTAATTGTCCCTTGGGACCATGAGGAACCCCAGAGTCCACCCACCCCCAGGTGACCTCCTCCTGTGGCATATGAGCTCTGAGCTCCCGGTCTTCTGGCCCCTACGCACCTCCATTTCAGCTTCTTTGGACCTCAGTTTCCTCATCTGTGAAATGGAGATAATCACCAACTCACTCTCTTTTCCACGGAGGCTGAGGTGTTAGCGGGGGTGTTGGGCAGTGAGGCTAGGAGCAGCCCAGTGCTGTGGCCAAATGTGTCCCCCTCTTAAGGTCCCCCAGCAGGTGGGCAGGGCCTGAGGGCTGAGGCGGGGTCGGGGCGGCGGCGGGAGAGGATAGAGCTGAGCGCTGTTCTCCTGGACTGCCTGCGGGCAGGGTCCCCTCTGTCCCTCACTGTACTCCTGGGTGTCCCCCCCCCACCGCCGCCCCAGGCCGCATCAATGTGAAGAACGAGGAGCTGGAAGCCATGGTGAAGGAGGCACCTGGACCCATCAACTTCACCGTCTTCCTGACCATGTTTGGGGAGAAGCTGAAGGGTGAGGGAAAGAAAGCCCACGTCGCCCGGGTGGGGAGGGCAGTCTGGCTCCGTGTGCAGACCGCTGGGAACATAGGGCAGCCCCAGCTGCCAGCCCCCTGGGCCCTACCCCTGTTTCCACCTCTAGGCCAGAGTAGGAGGAGGGCATCCAGGGCTGGGAGGGGACAATTTGTGTGAAGACCCTCCTCCCACCTCGAGGGGCTCAGCAGGAGCTCGAGGGGCTCAGCAGGGATAGACCCCTAACCATGACTCCCGGTTCTAACCACGGCAGCTCCCGGGCCGGGGGTGTGGGGTCAGGGCAGCGGTCCAGGCAGCCCTGTCCCTTTCTCTCTGGGCCCTGGGGAGCTACCCTCTGACCCTTAGTAGAGTTTTCCTGGGCTCGAGGCTTCCCTGGACAGAGGGAGGAGGCCAGCGTGGGCAGGGGCTGTCCTGGGAGGTGACGCTCCTCCCCACCGACACCGATGGGTCTGATGCCCGCCCTCTGATCTCCAGGCCCTGCCCGAGCCCAGTCTTCAGCCCCCAAGTACAGCACTGTCTTTTTGGCCTGCCAGTTCTCATGCACATCTTGGGTGACGAGAGAGCCCCAGCGATGCCCCCACGCCAACCCCACCTCACTAATCATGACCTCTGAGTTTTAGTTTCTTCGTCTGTAAAATCAGGCCAATCATCAGGAGGGTTAAGACCATAATAAGTGCTCAGTGGGGTGTCCATGTACAGTTGCACAGGCTGTTCATAAGTACACGCAGCCCCCTTGGTCATTACTCCTATTCCTTGTTTCTCAGAAATCTCCCTTCTCTTGCTCCAACTGAGGAAGCCCCCACAGGCCCCCCTCTACCCCCTGCCCTGGCCTGTCCTCTTCACCCTGGCTTTCTTCCTGCCTGTATGTGCTGTTTCTAGGTACGGACCCCGAGGAGACCATACTCCATGCCTTCAAGGTGTTTGACACTGAGGGGAAAGGCTTCATTAAGGCTGATTTGTAAGTCCCCCCGCCCTTTGTTTTGGTTTTTCTCTCCCCAAAGGTTCAGGTGATCAGTGAGCTGGGTGAGGTCAGGGCGGGTTGCCGCCCAGTCTCCTACCCCTCCCAGTGCTTAGCCAGCTCGGGCAGTGTCTGGCCAGGAGCCAGGAGGGCACTGCCCTGCCCAGCTTAGCCATCACTCGGTGTCCCTTCCCTTCTCTGGGATCTGGTGTCCCCCATTTCTGTGTGGAAGTGTATGGGGAGTGTGGGGTCACCAGGGGCGGTTTTCCCAGTGGTAGAGGTGGGCCTTGAAGGGAAACGAAGGGCTACTTAGGCTGGGGCAGGGAACATTCTAGATGCCACAACACAACTGTGAAGGAACAGGGCTTGGCGTTTGCGGGGTTGGTGAGGGGGCGGCTGGAGGTCGGGTGGGGGACGCTGAGCACAGAGAGGGTCTATGTGGGGTAGGTCCTGCGACAGGCCCTGGGCTGCAGGTCTGCACTGGGGGCCACTGGGCTGGCATGTGGAGGTGGGGGCCCCAATGCCCGCTCTGCCTCAGCCCAGTGAGAGCACTGAGCAGAGCTGAGCGTGGTGGCGGGGGCGGCCTGCCCAGTGGCTAGGACATGGAACTATCCCCAGGGAAGTCCCTTCAGAGCTTCAGAGGTCTCACCAGGCCTGTGGGTGGCCTGGAGCAGGCAAAATTTCCTCCCCAGGCACAGACTTCCTGGCTGATTACTGTGATGCTTGTGGCCTTGGCCTTGAGGCCAGATTTGCTGCCCACTAGAATCATCCCATATGGGGTGGGGGAGGTGGGCAGGAGAGGGCAGGAAAGGGGAGCTGGGGGGAAACCAGCAAAGTTCCCTCTTGTCCCTCACACCTTCTCACCACCCCCACCCCCCAAAGTTGTGAGCCACATTTTCCCCAGGGCTAAGTGAGGGGTTGTTCAGGGCTCCTGCGGGCTGGGGCCCTCTCCTTCGTCCCTCACTCAGGATCCACGGTTCCCACACCCGTCTTAGGGACCCCCCCGAGGCACTGAGGGCAACCCCTCTCCCGGCACGCACCTTCACTCCCACCAGGGCTGGGCCAGGAACACTTCTGGGACCTAGTTTGGGAATCGAAAGCCCCACCCCCAGGGCTATCGGACCTGGAAGACGTGGCTGCCTGCCAGGCAGGCCACAGAGGAGGCTCTGGCTGAAAGGGAGTCTGTGAACAGTCCCCAGCCTGGAGAGTCGGAAACTGTGACTGTCCCACAGTAACATAAATAATGGAAAATGTGCGTCGGTCCTTAGCGGGCTGGCCCCTGCGGCACCGCGGGACACTTGGCGCTCAGGCCTGGCTCAGCCCCTCTGATCCCTTCCCCGCCTGCTGTGCCTTGCCAAGGGGCCCGGAGGGGGCCCTCCAAGTTCCCAGGGCATCAGTCCTGTGGGGCTTCACCTCCTGCCGCTCCCCCAGGCCCTGGGGCCGCTCAGACCCCATCCTGACACTGCTAGTCCTGACCTTTTGGCACCTTGGTTGTTCCCTCTATAAAAGGGGCTCATAGCACTCACTTCCCAGGGCTATGAGGAGCAAAAGAAACCTGGGCAAGGCTGTCTCCTGTCACGGCAGAGGGCCAGCCCTTGTATTCTCGGAGGCACGGGGAAGTGTCAGCGCGAGCCGCTCCCTGGCCGAACTAGCAGGGCCCCTAGAAGAGACTGAGGGGTCCACCTGAGGCCACACAGACGTCTGGCCGGGATCCGCATGTGCATGCCCGGGGTCGCCCTTCCCCTCAACCTGACCCTTCCTCTCCCCTGAGCAGCATCAAAGAGAAGCTCATGACCCAGGCCGACCGGTTCAGTGAGGACGAGGTGAGTGCGGGCTTTCCAGGGCACAGCCTAGAATCTTCCTGGGGAAGGTCCCAGCCGGCCCAGGCCCTTCTCAGCAGCCCCCTTCCTGGGAGATGGCCCTTCTTCTTTAGACGGTGACTTGATGACTCCCCGCTTGACTCCTCAGAGGAGGACAAGGGTGAGTGGGGCTGGCTGCAGGCCCTGGCCATCCCCACCTCGACCTGCATAGAGGGGAGCCCCATTCTGCCTGACGCCCTCGGGTGACCTCCCCCCGCCCCCCACCCCACTCCCCTTTCGACCCGAGTCCAGGCTGATTCCCTACTCCTTCCCCAGGTCAAGCAGATGTTTGCGGCTTTCCCGCCAGATGTGTGCGGTAACCTGGACTACCAGAACCTGTGTTACGTCATCACGCATGGAGAAGAGAAGGACTAGCAGGCCAGGGACCCCCCCCACCAACATTTGGAGGTAGCAAACTCCCATGGTGTTTGGGGGCGACCCCTGGTGAGCCCCCTACAGCCAACGTGTGCAAAGGAATGTCTCCCCACATTCCCCTGTCCCCAGCTCAGGGGCAAAGCAAGAATAAAGAATGCTAACAAGGCCTGCGTTTTCGTGATTAATGCTCCGGTTGGGGAGAAAGCGAAACATTCCTGCGTTGTTGGTTTTTCCAAAACTTTTTTTTTACTTCCCCGGCTTTGCTCAAATGTTCCTGATGAGCTGGTGTTTAGAACTAATTGACAGTTTTAATGATCCCCAGCTGGGCCACAGGACATGCCTTCATTTAGGAAGCTTTTACTGAGCACCTGGGGCGTGCCAAACCCGGTGCCGGTCTCGGGGGGGACACACAGAGGAGCCAACCCTGTCCCTGGGCCGTAAGGTCATGCAGTGAACAGGACAAGATGGGGGGTGGGGGGCACGGGGGTGGGGGGTGGTCAGAGCAGTGTCCAGGAGACCTGGCACCTGGGAGCTGGGCAGAGGGCAAGAAGGTGGAGACGAGGGGGCAGATCCAAGGGACGATCAAGGAGCAGTTGGGGACTCCTTCAACAGGACCCGTGTAGCACCGACCACAAAATGAAAGGGCATATGTTGGACTTCACCAAAAGTAAATAAACACTTGCCCCCAGCAGAAGACATATTGGAAGAATATGAAAAGGCAAAGCCCAGTATTGGGAATAGATTTTGACAAAGATCTCATGTCCCAAATATACTTCTAAAAAAATCCTGCATCATTTATTATTTATTATTTATTTATTTATTATCATTTATTTATTTGTTATTATTTATTTATTATTTATTATTTATTTTAAAAATAAAATAAAATACTGAGGCACCTTGGTGGCTCAGTGGGTTAAGCCTCTGCCTTCGGCTCGGGTCATGGTCCCAGGGTCCTGGGATCGAGCCCCATGTTGGGCTCCCTGCTCAGCGGGGAGTCTGCCTCTCCCTCTGTCCCTCCCCTTGCTGGTGTTCACACACTCTCCCTCTCGCTCTCAAAAATAAATAAAATCTTAAAAAAAACCACAAAACTTCATGGAGAATTATTTTTTAAAAATCCTACCCATCCTTAATGGAAAGTTAACAATCACGGATACACACACACACACACACACACACAGTGGGCGCCTGGCTGGCTCAGTCAGTAGAGCGTGCGACTCTTGATCTCAGGCTTGTGAGTTCCAGCCCCACGCTGCGGGGAGAGATTCCTTAAAAATAAAATCTTAAAAAGAGAGAGAGAGAGAGATACACAAAAGAGAGCATACTTCTTTCTGTAACTTTTTAAAATGATAGCATGCTTAAAAATAACTTTTTTTTTAAAGATTTTATTTATCTACTTGACAGAGATCACAAGTAGGCAAAGAGTCAGGCAGAGAGAAAGGAGGAAGCAGGCTCCCCGCTGAGCAAAGAACCTGACGTGGGGCTCGATCCCAGGACCCTGGGATCATGACCCGAGCCGAAAACAGAGGCTTTAACCCACTGAGCCACCCAGGTGCCCCAAAAATAACTTTTTTATTAAGATATAATTCACATGCCATAAAATCCATCCTTTTAAAGTATATAATTCGGTGGCTTTTAGTATCCTCCCAGGTCTGGGTGGCTATCTCCACTGTCTATATCCAGGACATTTTCATCACCCCTCAAAAGAAACCTGTTAGTTGGTTAAGCAGCTGCCTTCGGCTCGGGTCATGATCCCAGGGTCCTAAGATCGAGCCCCACATCGGGCTCCTTGCTCAGTGGGGAGCCTGCTTCTCTCTCTGCCTCTGCCTGCTTTCTCTCTGTCTCTCTGTCTCTCTCTCTGACAAATAAATAAAATCTTAAAAAAAGGAATAAAGAAATCCGTTAGCAGTCACTCCTCACCCCTTTCTGTACCCAATCCCCAGCAACCACCAATCTACTTTATTTTTCTACGAATCTGCCTATTCTATACATTTCATATAAATGGAGTCATACAGTATATGGCCTTTTGTGTCTGGCTTCTTCGAATAACGTTTCCATGGTTCGTCTGTGTTGTGGTACTTTTCCTCTTTATAGCTGGATAACATTTCGTTGTATGTGGCTGGACCATGTTTTGTTGATCCACTCGTCTCTTGATGGATAATAGGGACGTTCCCACTTTGGGGCTATTATGAGTAACACTGCTGTGAACACTCATGTGCAAGGTTTTGTGTGAACATTTTTTTTTATTCTCTTCTAAAGATGAAATTGATGGTTCATATAGTAATTCTATATTTAACTTTTCTGGGAATTGCTAAACTGCTTTTCAAAGCACTTTTTCAAAGGGACAGCCCCATTTTATATGCCCAGTGGTAATGTTCGAGGTTCTTCTACTTTCTTCACATCCTCACCAGCACTGTTATTTTTGGTTTTTTCCCTTTTTTATATTTTTAATTTTTTTTTTTTTTAAGTAAGCTCTACATCCAATGTGGGACTTGAACTCACAACCCAAGATCAGGAGTGGCATGCTCCACCAACAGAGCCAGCCAAGTGCCCCACTGTTTTTGTTTTTATTTTTTAAATAGCCCTCTTAGTGGATGTAAAGTTGCATCTCATTTTGTTTTTGATTCACATTTCTCTAACGATTGATGAAGCTGAGCATCTTATCATGTTCTTATTGACCATTTTTATCTCTCCTTTTTTTTAAATGTCTTTTCAGCTTCTTGGCTCATTTTTAAATTGGGTTATTTATCTTTTTTGTTGCTGAGCTGTGAGAGTTCTTTATATATTTTGATACTAGGCTCTTTAGATACATGATTTGCAAAAAAATGTTCTCCTGTTCTGTGGGTTGTCTTTTCACTTCCTTGACAGGGTTGTTTATTTTTTTTTTTAAGATTTTATTTATTTATTTGACAGATAGAGATCACAAGTAGGCAGAGAGGCAGGCAGAGAGAGAGGAGGAGGAAGCAGGCCCCCCTGCTGAGCAGAGAGCCCAACGTGGGGCTTGATCCCAGGACCCCGGGATCAAGACCCGAGCCGAAGGCAGAGGCTTTAACCCCCTGAGCCACCCAGGCACCCCTGATAGGGTTGTTTAATGTTTATTCTTTCTTCCAAGAGTTTCATAGTTTCAGCTTCTGCATTTAGGATATTAGGACATCTTGAGGGTTATGGAGTTGTTATTGTCTATGGTGTGAGGTAGGGATCCAGCTTCATTTTTTTGCCTATAGATATCCATTCTTCCAGGATTTGGAGGAGTGAGACTATGTTCCCCCTTGTGAAAGGATGAACTGATCAGAGTGGTGGGTTTATATGTAGACTCTCATTTCCAATCCATCCACCTCCATGTCTCAGTGCATACCTTTTGATTCCACTTACGTGGCATTCCGAACCAAGTGAAACTAATTTATGGAGGCAGAAGGCAGGATAATGGCTATTTCTGGGGATGGGGAAGGGCCATGAGAGAGACTTATGGGAGATGAAAATGCTCTATGTCTTGATCTGGTGGCCGGTACTCAGGCGTAGACATGAAAGGTGATCAGACGGTACCATTAAGAGTTGAGCAGTTAATGCCCTTTCCTATATTTATGTTCTATCCCAACAGGAAGGAAAGAGAAAGAAAAGAAGGAATGAGAAATAGGAAAGAGAAAAAGTTGAGGGGGGAGGGAAAGAGAAGACAGGATGGTCAGGAGATAGGGTGGAGATGACGGGCATCAGGTGGAGCCGTGGGGACATGGCTTTGGCAACTGATGGCACTATGCCCTTGGATGCCATGTCTAGGGCTCTGGGAGCCAGGGCCTGGCCTAGCCTGTGAAGGGATCGCCAGCAGTGGGACCAGAAGAGACCACGGAGTAACCCTGAACCCTTAGAGCAGGAGGAGGACCAAGCAGAGATGGGCAGTCAGCAGGCTGGGAGGCGAGACCTGGGGGAGACGATCAGGTGGAAAAAATGCCAACAATGTGGGATCTAAAGGGCAGGACCCCAGGCTGAGGTCTGCACATGCTCTTAGACATCTCAGCCCTGTGAATGCAGGACAGGAAAGGGAAGCACGGAGCTTGCCCAAGGTCACTTGGTGGAGCTGGGACGGGGACCCAGGTAGCCCGGCTGTGCCCCCATAAGCTCTACCCCACACTACCAGCTGATGCAGCATAGTGTGGGGGTAGGGACAGAGTTTAGGATCAGAGTTTAGGGCCACAACAAGAAGGTTCCTTTCCTTGTCCCTCACCCTCCTAAGCTCCTTGTTGCCTCTGGGGGAGGTGGGGAGAGATGTGTGCCCATCAGCCCGGAGCTCCCCGGCACAAGGGCAAGGTCTGCGAGCAGGGGCTGGGGACAGCCCAAGGCCGAGGAGGAGCAGTACTCCAAAAGAGCCCTCTCTCTCCGCCCAGGCCTTGCTCCTTCTGCTCTCTAAGACTTTGGCTTTCCTGGAAATCAAGGTCTCTGCTGCTGAGGAACTCGTCAGACCTGTTTACGCCCTGAGGAACCAGGCCAGAGCCAAGCTGGAGGGAACAGACGCTATGGGCACCTGCTGGCCCGCCTCACAGCTCCGGGAGGCCTGGCTCCATATGACACCGAGTTCTGCCCGCCCTGCAGTGGCCCAGCCCCACGAGGACATGAGGCGGCCAGCTGGGAAGGCCAGAGGGGCTCCGTGCTGCTCAGGAGAAGACCCTGGGGGCCCATTCACTCCTCCATCCCTCAGACATCTGACCACTTACACCCACTCTGTTCCACAGCCCAGAGAGGATCGGTAACACCAGGAACACCCACCTCTGTCCTCAGTGGGCTCTGGCCCCACAGGCATGGGAGTGAATGGGCTCTGGTGGCCTAGGGAGAAGAAGGCAGGGGCAGCGTGGGGGGCCAGTGGCGGCTCCAAGGCCCTGGCTTCTGCCTCTCTCGGTGTCTCCACAGCTTAGCTGGCTCATGGCCCCTCTCCTTCCACTGAGGTTCATTGGTGATTTGACTGCCCCTGACCCAAGCCCACAACCAGGGGCCTTTAGTTTCTCTGACTTTCCATCCAGTTCTTGAGGGACACTTGTTATGACCCCACAGGACCACCAGATAGGTCCCACTGGATCTTCCCCTACTCCAGGAAGCTGGGTTGGGGGTTGAGTTTCCTGAAAGCCAGAGAGAAATCGGGAGCAGTGTGCGTGAGTGTTGACGGACTCATCATGTCTCCTG